TAGTGTTTGGGCAGGCCAACTGGGGATAATGTATGTATCCATCCATTGATCGTTATAGGCGCAATCATCCTTGGATCCACCTCAGTGCCCACACACACGCATATTAGCCTTCGCAACGGATATTGCTAGACATAGGCATCCCATCCCCCCTCGCACACACCTGCCGGTGAGTGGTGTGCCTGCCTGCACGCCATTCTGCAATGGCTTGCGGGCGCGCACACCAATCTGCGGATGGTGTGTGCGAGGGGGGATGGCTTGCCATTATCAATCCACAAACAAAGCTCTGGCTCTTCTGTGTAATGTTTGTGAAATGAACTGTGTATAGAGCTGGTCGCGGATATAGTGTTGATTTGTGTGGGTAGAAGATTTTGCCTAGTTTGTCAGCCTATGTGATGCCAAGACACGTGTCCTCTAGCTACACAAGGTGCAAAAAGTAAGAGTTTTTATGGCAAAAACTCTGGGATAGAACTGGTACAGGTAATTCAAAAGAATTACGTGGAATTTATGGATTAAATCCAAAAAAATGGCCAATTTATATTAATAAAATTAATATAAATTAAACCAGAGGGGCCTGATAAATCAGGGGTGGTTTAATCCCTCTAAGGTATCGTGCAAAAAGCAGAGGATTTAGGTACCTGATACACTGGGTAGAGATGGGCGGGGATAATCCGTTGCGGATATCCGCTATACGCTGGCGGATACCCGCCAGTGCCAGCGGGTATCCGCCAGCGGGTGCGGATTCGGCTTCGGATGGCTGTTTTTCCGCCCAAACCTGGCGGATATCCGGGTATCCCAAGGGATACCCGGTGCCAAGAGAGGCCACACCGCCGGGAGGAATCCCTCCCGGCGAGCTGGAACACAATCCAGCTTGCCGGGAGGGGTTCCTCCCGGCGAGCTGGGATGAAAACACTCTCGTCGGGAGGGGTTTCTCCAAACGAGAGGTTTTGACCCCAACCTCGTCGGAGGGAATCCCCTCTCAACGAGCTGCCTCTATCTCGCTGGGGGGGCGTGGGGGTTGCTGAAGAATTTTTCTGTGAGTTCTCATAGGCAGTCCGGCACTTGTTTTCTAACAAATTGGCGGAGGAGAGCGCTGCGAACGGACTATTGCGGAGGGATGTGTCGAAAAAAGATAGAATGTGAGCTACCCGGGTACTGGAAGCGTTTCGTAAAAATAAACCGCAAAAAGCGTCCGTGCAGAGGGTACCCTACACCCTAGGTGACCATAAAGTCCACAATATAAATGGGGCAGAATTTATCTCCTACATCTCGAAGG